TGCTAAAATGAAGCTAAAATAAGAGGTCTTTGGGGTAGCACAGGCAGGGCCTCCTGCAAGCAACCTCACAGATGTGCCCATGGGCAGATGTAATGTGATCTGGTGTGGCCCCTTCTCCAAAAATCATGACTTATGGGAGTTCAGCCTTGTAGCTGTCATAGCCAGCAGGAGCCCACAGCATCTGCCATGATGCCTCAGCCTGAGGTGACCAAATCCTCTGGTTCTTCTCCCTGCTCAGAGAAACCTCACCCAGAACCCTGCTTTGAGGCACAGGGGCACCCCCACTGAAACCAGAAATGACCATGAGCCCATGTACAAACTGCTGGAGCTTCATGCACCAGCAAGACATGATGGCAGCTGGACTGGCTCCTCGCCAGCTGCCCACACAGTTGTTTCTGTTCTCAGCCACGGCCCCAGCGATGCAAACTCAGCCCGGAAATTCGTGTGTGCATTTGAGCTTGCCCCTGTAACACCTCCAGTCTCCAAGATCTGGGCCAGGATTTTTAATTAACCCTGGGCTGGGGAGGTGGAGAGCAGCACCTTGCACAGCATTTTATCCTGCAAAGGATCTACTCAGCCCAAATAAGTATTCTCAGGTAGGGAAGGAGACTTAGCCCAAGTATGAAGTGGTGGGGGAGATAAGAACAGAGACGCTCTCAGTGGTTTTTGAGCACTGAGAAGCTGCTGTGACTCATGAAATGTTACCCAGGTTATGCAGCACCTACCCAAGAGGACAACTAGTCCCACCAGTCCCTGGGAGCCTTGAGGCAGCTGTGGGCTTGCCCCTCACCTTCCCCACCCTCCTATCCAAGTGGTGTTTCACAATTTCCCTGTTACCAAAGTTGCCATGGCAGAAAAAAACACCTCCAAGCCGCAGGTGAGGAGGCAACCAGCACCTCTGCTCTTGCCAGCCGGGCAGGCAATGCCAGAGGGGCAGCAGAACACCAGGCTGCTGGCAGCCCCAAGGCACGGGCTGCTTGGACTTCTCCCAGGGGATATTTGGAAAAGCTAGAATAGAAACTTGTTGACAAAAACCGGCACTGTTTCCATAAGGGCACAGCCTCGTGACCAGGTTGAAACACTCCTATTTCAGCAGTGCTGGGTGGCAAGGATTCATTTTTCAGGTCAGAATGTGTGTTCATTTAGAAATGTCCCTTTTTTCCACAGCATTAAAAAAACAAAACAAACCAAAAACATCTGGGGGAACCTGCCTTTCCTCCCATTAACTTTTAGACAGGTCACTTTCAAATCCATGTGTTCCCCTAACTCTTCAGAACCCACTTCCAAAGTGTAGGATTTCCTCCCAGAAAAGAGCACCCTGGTTCCAGGCCCAGCATTTGGGGTGTTTGGGATGCTCAAGAGGGGGGTTGCCAGGATGCAGTCCCACAGGCAGTATGGACCACACTGAAAGCCACTTCCAGCCAGCTAACCCCAGAGCAGAGCTCCTGCCAGAAAAAAAACACCCCAAACCCCACCACCTTTACACAACTACCCCAGCACAAGCTGAATCTTCACGGGGTGAAGGCAACAGCCAGGATGGATCCTGACTTTGCCCCTCACACCCCTTCTTCCAGGAGGCTGGAGTAAGTTCAACCAGGACAAGCCCCCTAAGCCAGCCCTGCTCTGGCTGGACCCCAATCCCGGTCCTGCTCCCCCTGCTCAATTCGGAGCACACCCTGTGCAGGGCTCTTGCCTCCCTCTCCTCCCACCCAGCACGGAGCATCCCCGGTGCAGGGGATCCCGGGGACAGAGCAGTCCTGCGGCGAGTGTTTCCACTACCCTGCTTGGGACGAAGCCTCCAGATGCCAGGGCGGGGACATCCCGGGGCGGAGGGGCCCCCAGGGCCGGAGCACCCCCGCCGGGCGTCCAGGGCGGGCCCCGGGGGCGGGCAGGCTGCGGCGGGGGGC